CAAAAGGGCCTTTCTTATTTTTTGGGTTACATTGCCAGTTCACGAACTCCGATCTACAAATTTGATAAAGAATCTCGTAAAGAATCCACCTACAAAATTTTATCGTAATCGCTCCATTCGTTATCGAGATATCGTGCTAACGGACGGACAGACGGACAGACACCGCAAAATTATAAACTCGCTAGGAGCTCGTTAATAAATGATAATTTTCTTCCATGGGGATTGTGGTCCCCATTACACTGACTGGCCGCGTTACCTGCACGTTGTATGGCAATACTTAAATTTGTCGTAAGTAAGTGGTAGCTCTGGGTTCCCAGTAATATTGGTAATGCGTTTTCCCAGGTATTCCACAAAATTCTCTACACCAAGGTCCCAATATCTCTACTGCGAAAGGTATAAAAATATGGTTCTGTTCTATAATATATGAACTGTATTTCCTTATTTTAATACTTGCCGCAGATTCAGCTACCACACCACTCGTTTTACTAGAAAATTAATCCAAAATATTTCAGTGGTGCCAAGTCATAAAGCTAGGAAAAACTGTCCCAGACTACTTGGTTGTGGCGCCTACTCTTAAGATTTTGACTCTATCTGGAGATGTCAGCAAAACACAAAATAGCAAAATTGTACACGAAAAAACAAACCGGTGGTATTATAAAAAAAAGGACCCCCACAATGTTGGGGATTGGGCGCCAGCTCTGCGCTACGTTTAAAGAACACAGCGCAGCGCTTGCTTTTGGTAGTCATCGAACACAATGGTGGTGTTAGAGGCTAATAAACCACGCCCAAAAGTTAAAGGCTTTTTGCAAAATTTATAATTGCGCTAGGTTAACTTGAGCGCTAGGTCTACAGAACAGAAAACATCAAATTTTTACCCGAAAAGACAAAATGGTGGTGCCCCCTCCCCCCACACTATGGAGGGTGATGACAGCTCTAAAATTTGTGGCGCTAGTTGGCGCTAGGTCTGACAAACTCAGCGCTTGCTTTTGGAAGTGATCGGACGCAATGGTGGTGCTAGCGTTAACATAGCACCCCCCGAAAGTCAAGGGCTTTTTTGCAAAATCTATAATGGCGCTAGCTGAACTCAAAGTGGCGCTAGCTGGCGCTAGGTCAGCAGAACACAAAACGTCAAAATTTTACATGAAAATACAAAATGGTGGTGCTAGGAAAAATTGCTCCCCTCACTATTGGGGGGTGGCGCTAGCTCTAAAATTTGTGGCGCTAGTTGGCGCTAGGTCTGACGAACACAGCGCTTGCTTTTGGAAGTGATCGGACGCAATGGTGGTGCTAGCGTTAACATAGCACCCCCCGAAAATCAAGGGCTTTTCTGCAAAATCTATTATGGCGCTAGCTGAACTCAAAGTGGCGCTAGCTGGCGCTAGCCATAGAGATTCTAGCGCAATCTGTCTTTAGTCAAAAATTTGAAATGGTGGTGCTAAGTTAACGGAGCCTTTTCCATGGGGACCCTATCAAACGTGATAAACCGGAAGTAATGCATACTTATAGAAAGAGCACTGTAGCGTCTCTATCGTTGGAGATAACAAGGTTAGTATTCTAGAAAAAATGTTAGAAATGATCAGATTAAACAAATTGATACTAAATATGACCGAAAATGAGCCTTAATATAATCAGAAGTAATACAATGTTGTTGGAAATGTTGTCCATCCAAGCCCTTTTTCTGACTTATGCCCGTTTGCACCGACAAATTTAAGTGGAGCTTAGCTTAAGCGTAGCTTAAAATCCATGACAACGATTATTGAGACAATGGTTGCCATGGATTTTAAGCTACGCTTAAGCTAAGCGCCTCGTAAATTTGTCGGTGCAAACGGGCATTAAATACCTAATACCTAATCTAATACATACACCACCTGGTAAACGCTTCCTTACCTTTGATATTTTCTGTTTCGACTTTGTTGGCCACTTTAATCCTTTATGAATTTCAGCAAAAATAATATCGATTTTTTTGATACAATATGTTTTACACCTTTCATGAAAAATATTGATGGATTGTATTAATTCTCATTTCCGGCTGCAGGGAATTTCAGGTCCGGTTGTACGGAATTTGGCGTCCGGTCATGTTTAACGCCAATTGTAGATCCGATCATTACAAAACACTTTAGCAAAGAATACTTTACTCTTTGATTATAGGAACATCTCGTTATCTCCGACAATTGATGACATTTTACTTCCCGTTGTTTCAACGAGCACTTCCGGTCATGCTTAATATCAATTGGTAAATCTGATCATTTCTAACATTTTTCGTAAAAACCCTAATCTTATTTTCACTTATAATTGCACAAGAGGTTTGTATTTAACCGAGTAAATTTGGATTGTTAAGGTAATGAAAATTGGTTGCCTAGCAATTTGACGAGAAAAACTGTCAACTAATAAAATTGCGACACCGAAGGTGGAGCATTTTTAGGTTGACAATTTTTCGAGATCAATTGCTAAAAGGAAACAGATTTGAATTGCAACAATCCAAATTTACTCGGTTTCAATACAAACCTCGAGTGTAATTCGGCAGGACAATTTAACGAACAAGAAATTCACCAAACTAATCAATTATTGACAGACGTCAAACTAGTCATATGGGAAAGGATAATACGATATTTGGTTCGAAAATGAATAAGTGAAAAAACCTCTAGTAGTACGGTGCAATTAGTCAAAAAAAACGGCTTAACCTCAACATCCAAAGTAAAAGTTTCCCATCAACTGCAAATTGTTCTATACAGTCCACATATTGTTTGGTAAAAAGTTACACCATTTTAAGCGTCGAGTTTGAATGGGAGGGGGAGGAAATTTGATAAATTAGTAGTTTTTGGAGTTTTTCTCAAATATTTAGAAAAGTGCGAAATCCAAAAATAATCTACATTAAATTGCGAACAAAATGGTCTTGTGTATAATCTTGCTCAAGTGAACGATTCCAGAGTTACGGAGGGTGTAAAAGTACCTAGACATTTTTCGTATTTTTTCGATTTTCTGGGAAAATGAAATTATGTTTGAAGTAAAGAACACTCAAGATCTGGCTTGTTTTCGTTATCCGTGTTACTTGTTGGCTATTTCAAAGCATCCTATACATTCACTGTTCAAGTTGGCTGCGCTTCTCCCCACTTCAGCAGCTAGCAGGCAGAACATTCATTTAGAACCTACCATACCATCAGGTGTAGCAGTGGCTGCATCAGAAGCAGAACCCGCTGAAGTGAGGATGGAAGATTGTCGAACACCTGAGGGGAATAACAACACATCCTGCAACTCCCCAGGAATTACCGTTCCTCATAGTGGAAGTCTCTTTAAAAAATGGCCTCCCTTGAGAAGGTGGTAAGGTTATCGTTCCTTCAAGGACTTATCAGTAACATACCACAGGTCACTAAAGTGCAATTTGTTTTAACAAAAATAGTTCATTATATATCAAGGTAGAGAAGTACAGTATTATTGCCTGAGCACCAAGATTACATCTCGAGGCGCTTGCGCCGAGGGGTGTAAGGTGCGAAGGCAATAATAGACTTCTCTACCGTGGTATATATACTATTTTTTTCACTACTAGCACTTGAAATCCTCTAAATTAACATATTATATTGATAAGAAAGTGAACGGTTGGACAGAATTTTTTGTTTATTAATTTAACATGTCGATCAAGTACGTAGAAGTACAAGTCAAACAGGCCGTATTTTGTTCTGTGATTGAGATATTTTCAAAGAGTAATTTCGTTCGAATTTTTTCAAAATATGATAATTTTAGGTATGTAATTTCTCTGGAAATGGCGGATGGTGGCAATTATTGATTTTAGAGAACTTGTCCAAAAGTTTATTGAGCGAAATTTCGGGTTGTGTTTTCTAAAAGTGACAGCGTGACAGTTATCATTATTGACTACTAGTTAATAATGTCCACATTATTAACCACTTTGAACAAATGGCGAGAAAGTCTACTTTACAAGTGGAAAAAAGGTTAATAATCATGTCATCAGACGCTAGTAGTGAAAAAAATTAGTTTCCTTAGTGATAATATATTTTCCAAAAGAATCTAAGAAAAAGATGAAAAATTTCTCCTGTTACACCCTCCGTAACTCTGGAACGGTTCAATTTAGCAAGATTATATACGAGGCCATTTTTGTTCGCAATTTATCGTAGATTATTTTTGTATACGGCATTTTTCGCACTAATCTACATAGTTTGCTAAATATTTAAGAACAACTAATCAAAACTACAAATTTTCCAACTTTCCTCCCCCTCCCAACCAAACCAGACGCTTAAAATGGTGTAACTTTCTACCAAACAATCTGTGGACTGTGTAGAACGATTTGCAGTTGGAAACTCTTACTTTGGATGTTGAGGTTTGGGTCTAATTGCACTGTACTATAGTGTATTTGTCGCTGGAAAAGTTGCAAGTAATTTTTGCCGCTATCAAGGTGACAATTGCACTGCGGCATATGCGATTTTTTATACATGAGTTGAATTGTCCCTGCTATAACCGCTACAGTGTGTTTTATATAAGTACGTATTACTTCTAGTTTATCACTTCCGGTAGCATCCCCACGCAGAAATTTGAGATGGCTCCATATCTCTCCCCAACGGTGAATATTCACCGTGCTGTCCCCTATTTCATGCTTTCTTCACGAAATGCATGATGCCAGATCTATGCCGTGTACTATGAGTCTGATTTTATTTATTTTAAACAACAATTTTCGGAAATATCCGTGTCAGAGTGGAAAATGTCACAAATTGACTCGACCGAATGCAAATATGTGATGAAGGCGAATACTTCCAAAAACTTTTCGACCGACCCTTGTACATACATACACTAATAACATGCGAACTAAGCAAACAAAGCATATTATAGGTTTGCAATGCCACAACTTCACATTCTTGATTTATCGTATGAATAAGGTTAACGGCTTGATTCGGATTAAGATTTGTGCACGATTTCACAAACGATTAGGTTTATTCAACGATTAAAAATAATAGAACGATAAACATCTAACCTAATAATCGAAGATGAGTTAACTATCTATATTTTGAATCACTTGTGAAACCGGGCATTAATTGTAATATACGCCAATCACTGGTTATGATAATTTGTATTTATCTGACCCAATTAAACGTCTGTGTTTAGACAGTTTTGCCATTAGTTTGTTAATATCGTTGACAAAACTACCAAGAAATGAACTAATTTTTAGGTCGTGACTTCTACCAATTACTTTTTGTTTTAATGTCCCGTTAGTTACCATTACTGGACTTCCATTACTAAGCGAAGGTTGTTGTGACACGGCGATGTTGAATGTTAGAGGACCATTTTTAATTTCGACATGTATTATACTGACGTATGGTGAGTTCATTTTCTAAGTAGTTATTTCTCGATTGTGTACCGGGTTGTAGGATTCCAAAGTTGTTCCTTACCGTATAACGAAATCGGAAAATGCGTCGATCTTAAACAGTGCCCTGAACTACAGCGGCACCATCTGGCGAGTAGGATTTCTTTAAACACGTCTAAAGATCAATGTGATTACTTCAAGGTGTGTTGCCCAACCACATCTACACACTTTAAAAATTCTAAACGAATTAAGAAATCCGTGCGGATATCACAAAACGACCATGTACAATGTGGAATCCAGTACCCGGGTAACAGAATATTTGGAGGAACTATAACTGACCTACACGAATTTCCTTGGATGGCATTGTTAATTTATCAAACAGGTGGCCGTAAGTAATGTCCATCCCGTTTCATAATTTTTCCATTTCAGAAAAAGGTCCAGGCCTAGCCTGTGGTGGAGTACTAATCAGTCAGAAGTACGTCCTTACTGCTGCACATTGTGTTACTGGCCCGTCAATGAGAAAAGTTGGCAAATTGTAAGTACAAGTAATGTGATGGATTTTCCAGAGAAACGTTTGTATCGGTTTGGATGAGAAACGTGTAAATTTTCAAATCATCTGTGTTTACCTAGACCCGATGCACACGTCCGCTTTTTTTAGTTGCGGTGCCGCATTTGCGGTCTGAACTACACAGTACCTATCAGATGGGAGAATGCACACATGGTACGGTGCCGTTCCACTATAGTGCAGCGGAGAGCCGGCGCTAACTCGCTTATTTAAGGTAGTTTTTTTTTTCGGAGTAGAAAGAATTGGGACCCACACCATTTTGTTCAGAAATGTTTGAACCTTCAGAATCTCGTTTTACGACATTTTCCCGTGGTCCTGACAAAAGTTATAGGCCGTTAAAGTTAAACTTTACTCATTTTCGCGCGCGCGACTAGACCACCGAAAGTATTTATTTTCTCAGCAACTAAGCATATACATCAATAATTCCTTTTGTAAAATGAAAGTACATTTATAGCAGAATCTAAAGCATTCATATTTACCTACCTTGTTATGCACAGTTTTTAGAAAAATGACCGTCAACTTCCAAAATTCGTGTAGCAGATGAAAAGTGCGCAATTTGAACTCTCATAACTTTTTATTTCACGATATCGATTTCCAATATTAATAGCTCATTCGATGCTCCAAAGCATTGTGATTATTTAATTTTCTATAACATTACCGTGAATTTTTCATAATAAAAAAGTTACGGTCATTTAAGTAAAAACCTACCCACCTCGCCGAGTCGGGAATCGCGAGTGAGACGGAGAGGGAAGGATAGTCAGCAGCGTTCGCGCAACAAGGAGCGATGCGTAAGAGGTTCTACTTTACTATGAAATTTCCCTCCGAATACCAAAACTAGCTATTTAGGCCGGTTACAAATGCATTCCGCCGAGTTGCATTGTAAAATCTCAAAATATTCAGTAACTTCATGTATTCGTTTAGGAGCCACCCTAAAAAAAGTGGTAAAAGTTTCCATTTCTCCTTTAATTTTTTTCTTAGCAACAGTTACAGAGACTGGTGGTAAGTCTTTGAATAGGTTTTGCTGTATGCCCTTTCCGGTTTTGCAAATAATTTCTCAAAATTCTTACCACAAAAGGGCACACCCCTCAATAGGGGTGCGAAAAAATGTTGATTTCGACGAAATTTGGTATCTGGTGGTTTTTGAATACCTATAAAAATCACGAATCTGAAATTAGTTTTTGAAAATTCGAAAAAAATAATTCCACTGCAATTGTTGGCCGGACAACGAAAATTGACAAAATTCCACGAAGTTTGTTGTGTAGGTACATACGGAACAAAATTGTTGAACAGTTTTTCTTAAGGTCATTTTTCAAACAAAATTTACACTCATTTGCAAATTGGTCTTTCGAGTCAGAAAATGTTCTCCGACAGTGGCATAACAAGTATAGTAAACGCCAATATTACATGTTCTGCTAAGGGTGTCTACCTACATTTCACAAAAATTTGTCAAATAAAAAATGATAATTTTATCACAGCGAGCATTAATAACTTCGACATCAATGAGGAAACAGTCACAGAATAAGAATAAGTAGGCCATATTCTGTGGAAACAGACGAAAAAAATTCAACGCACAGTCCTTTTTCAAAAGCGAGATACATCGGCAGAAGAAATCCAAATTCCTCGTTTATCACTAGATAACGACCAGATAATTGACTTTAACAGCCTAAGTACATTCTGATAATCCTAAGTAAGTTCCGGTATCTACCATTCAATATATGTATGCCGTTTTTGAATTCTCCACCAACGAGCTACAATACCATCCTAACCATCGTCTAGTGAAATCAAAAAACAAGCCTGAATCTTTGGGACAAAAATCATACCGTTGTCACTGCTGATCTTGCAATACACGGCAGAGGACAAGAGATACCTAATGTGGAGTAACCCCCAAAATTTACAGGGAAAGGTACCTATTTGTACCTATATATTTCACCAAAGAACTGAGATACATGGAGTTAATGAATTGTTTGAGATTTTACAATTCAACTCGACGGAATGCATTTGTAAACGACTAAACGGCCTAAATAGCTAGTTTTGGTATTCGGAGTAAAGTAGAACCTCTTACGCATCGCTCCTTGTTTAGCTAACACTACTGACTATCCTTCCCTCTTCGTCTCACTCGCGACTCCCGACTCAGCGAGGTCGGTAGGTTTTTACTTAAATGACCGTAACTTTTTTATTATGAAAAATTCACGGTAATGTTATAGAAAATAAAATAATCACAATGCTTTGGAGCATCGAATGAGCTATAAATATTGGAAATCGATATCGTGAATAAAAAGTTATGAGAGTTCAAAGTGCGCACTTTTCATCTGCTACACGAATTTTGGAAGTCATTTTTCTAAAAACTGTGCATAACAAGGTAGGTAAATATGAATGCTTTAAATTCTGCTATAAATGTACTTTCATTTTACAAAAGGAAATATTGATGTATATCGCTTAGTTGCTGGGAAAATAAATACTTTCGGTGGTCTAGTCGCGCGCGCGAAAATGAGTAAAGTTCAACTTTAGCGGCCTATAACTTTTGTCAGGACCACGGGAAAATGTCGTAAAGGAGATTCTGAAGGTTCAAACATTTCTAAACAAAATGGTGTGGGTCCCAATTCTTTCTACTCCCAAAAAAATTTTTGAACGATTTCGCGGCTCTCTCCGCTGCACTACTAGGCCGCAGCCGCGCCGCAACCGTACTACGGCCTCTGTTACATTGCTGCACACGTCCGACCGTTTGTAAAAAACCGGACTTGTGCATCGGGCCTAACCAGAATGGCCTCCCTTTATTACCGGTCCTATTGAATGCTTCCGAAAATGTTGGGTTATTTTACATTGCAAAGGTAGGAATTAGTCGGGACTATCAGTACGTCTCTACAATTGGGTGCTAGTGAAATACGTTTTATACACTCGCAACCTACAACGGACGGCATACCTCATCAACCATAATCCCACAGAGGAATTCGCCCTAAGAATATTCAACCTTGTAGTCGTACGGAGTAGTCCCCCTCAGAAAATTCCGAAAATCTTTTTTGAAATAAATTTCATGAAAATTTTTCTCGGTACAGATCCGCACCCCAATACAGCCGATTAATTTAATTCAGACCTTAAATTTCTGATTCTCGGCAGACATTGGTCAAGATCAAAATCGTTAAATTCCAAACTGTCTGTTATCAAATTTTGACAAACACTCAAAATGAACTTTGGGCGTGAATCAATAAAATTAATCGTAATAGAGCAAAAGACTTCTCTTTTCATCGTTAAAGGGTCCCAATGAACACACAACTTTTTTACACGTACACATTGAAAACAACCATTACAATCCTGTTAAAACACAATTGGGCCACAATGTCCAAATAACCACAACCCACGTGGTGCTCAAACACAAACATTATAACAGTTACCAAGAAATACCTGAAAACCCGTGACACAAAGAACTTGGTTTTGCTACTTCATTTTCCCCGACATAGTTGCTGTGGCGCTGATCCTTACCTTTCGTTAACGCAAACCACTCATCGACAACTTGAAATCGCCGTCCGCGTTCCGTAGAAATTAACTCAAAATGATCGCACTTGTGCTTTCTTCGAATACAACAAAACGACAAAAAACTCGGCAGCATTGGACTTTATAAATAAATCTCGAACTTGATAACAATTTTCTTCTAAAGCCACCGCATACTCGGCCTCGAACTGGCAAAACAAACACCGTTTTCTTTATAACCGGAACATAACTTTGTTCTACCCTGAACATTTTACGAAAAAAAAGTTACTTCTTCGGACAGCAAACCGGCCCCAAAATTAACAAAAGAAATCTTCTAAAGAAACGCACTCCGTCCCGAATATGGCAAAATAATCTCTTCTTTCCGCGTCCTCCAGATATTTCAACGATTTTCCCACTTAATTTGTCTATTCAACAACCAATAACAACTGCATAGTGACTGAATCAACCAATACGATGGACCTTACCACCGACACGCAGATTGTCACGGCCACAACAATTCTTAGAATTTCCTTATCTACACCAACGCAGTTCTATAATGACCACAAGGAGTACTTGCCGGTAGGTTTACTACACGTTAGTTAAACCATTGAGTATCGGCTTCCAGACACTCATGCAGGTTACAAGAGTTTATTTCAAAGTCAAATTTTCGTGACTGGTTAGTCACTTCATCAGGACACGAAATATATTGATTAAAGTTAAGAGTGAAAGATGACATAACAATTATAAAATTAAAATTTTGGAAAAGGCATGGCATGGCCTACGTAATAAAATGACCCTCACAGATGGAGGTTGACATGAAAGTCTTTTCTTACTGATTAAAATGCCGTTTTATCCCTAACAATTACCTTTCTATAATAAGCGAAAAGCCTAATATATCACATCCAGACTGTCACAAACGAGCACATTGGTAACGAATAAAATTGAGGTACAAGATTTACTTAATCTGAACAATTCCAAGAAATACTCTATCGTTTATAAAGAAAGTAAACAAACAAGACCTTGCCTACGAACTTAATTCGCAAAACTGTTTTGTGTTAATTCACAACTAGACCCACGACAAAATTGCATTATAAGAATTAAATTAAACACCCGAGTTCATTCCAAATGCTTTAATCCAAACAACAACGTCCCAATCTGACATTGTTTACACAGCAGGATGGCAATATACTTGATATGATAAATAAGTACCTATAGGTATCTGGGCAAGCGGAAATACAGAGACGTGTAAATGTTGAATGAATTGAATTTTTTGGACCTAAATTTAACGTGTGTTTGATTTCTGGAAAAAGTGCTTGAGTAACCAAATATCTCACACAAAGGATTTGCATTATATTTCAATCTATGCGTATAAATTTATTATTGTGAAAAAATATATTGGTAATTATTTGCTTAATTGTATTATACAGCGCAATTAAATTATTTTTGTAATTTCGTTATGAAATACTTAAATTTAGTTGGCGTTTTCGGTTTTTAAAGAGCCGTCATTTAGCCACAAGTGTCACATTTTGACATTTTGACTAAATTGGCGCACTGGTACATTAGTTCTACACCATGCTGAATGTGAAGTCGGAGAAAGTAATTACAAACTAGTTTCTTCTGCAGCCGCTTCAACGTCGAATGAAATACTTACATTTTCATGGGAATAGTTCATTTTGCTATAGGGTTTTCGCTATAAATAGCGTTGCACGTCATCAACAGAAGAAAATGGCATGCCAATTTAAATCAAGATTTGACGGATTTATATTCATTATTATTTAGTTACTTTTTGGGAGAATAAGTTGGCAGATTCGGAATTTTTTTTACAATGTTGCCAAACGTTATTTGTAATGTTTGTTGACATTTGACACTTTTGTTCGGTTTTTGCATGTGAAAGTTTTCGGTTATTCTTGTGGTTGTTGTTATTATTCATCTTCACTCTTAGTGCAAAAAAATGTGTTCTGTTCAGAACAAAATTGCTGTTTGTGTACATTCTACCGTTATTTGCATTTGTACTCGCCACAATGCCGAAACATTTGATCAGTAAAGTAAAGTGAAGGAACTCCTTGACTCTTTAATTCAATATTTTGAACAGGAACGAGATAATGGGGGTTCCTTATTACCATTAGGTTCAGTTCGAGAGGTAAGAATGGTTTCAATTACTTCTGACTACTTCTACTAATTGTGATTACCTTCAGCGTGTTGCGGCAGCATTACATTTAAACATTTCTACGGTCAGCAGAATTTCCCAAGCTTTTAAACAAAACGAAGCTTTGATATCGCAGATCTTGTATTTGCATCTAAAAGTACTGGCGATTACCACGGAGAAATGAATCGTGAAAACTTTTTACATTCGTTTGAAAAACAATTATTAGTAAATTTAGAAGAACCAATAGTGTTATCGTATTGGACAATGCTTCTTACCACAGCACCTTATTGACACAAAATCCGAACAACTCGTGGAGAAAAGCAGATTTTCAAGATTCGTTACACAATAAACTTGCGATTGTAACCTCAGAAATGTGGAAAAATTCAATTAATCACACCGAAAAGTTAATAAAGGAATGGTATGAACGCGAAAAACAATTGGATATTGCAGAAATGGCCCCAATTATAAACTGGGTGAAAATGATAGTTGAGTGATGACGATTAACTGGACAATAAATAAAACTGCAATTACCTAAGTCACGAGAACTGTGTATTAAAATTTATTTTGTTTTTTGTTAACAAAATGGAATGTTACGTAGTCTGAAAAGTATCTTTCACCTTTTTACGATCATATCAGTTTATGTTAATTATCATTTTATGTATACTTAGTTCAATAAAATTTTTTGTGTTTTTTTTTGTCTCGGTTGAACTTACTAGTCTCAAATTCCACTACAGCAAGAGTTGGTCAAATAACGTAAAATCAGTCAAGATTTCAAGCAAGCATTAACTTGATATTTATTTGCTGATGGCCTATGGCTATGCAATGGTTTATAACTACCGAAACATTTACATAATGCCGCAATGCCCACATTCCTCATCTTTCTGCTCACAACGGCAGCGATACGTTATAAACAAAATGCTAATAGTACTACACTTAGTGGACTGCACTTTCCTTGAACTCGTCACAGCACAGTAGGAATGGGTTTTATTGATGCACAGTAGGTTGGTTTCACACAGGGAGCCCAAAAAATGATCTCTGAATTTTCTAGTTCCTCTGGAATCTGGATGGTAGAAACATAACCTAAAAGTGTTTCCTTAATAAAAGATTAATATATCAGCATACCTTAGAAATATTTGGCAATGCCGTGTATTGTTGATGTCATCAAATCAATGACGTGCAACGCTTTTTATAGCGAAAACCCTATAGCAAAAAGTTCCCAAACGCGATTGAAACATAAAAGACGCGAAACGAGGAAGCTTCAAACCAAGATGACAGGCAGTACTTATCCATAGCAACGCATTAGGTATATTTCGATAATACATGATAGTAGGGGAGCTAACACGAAATCCACTGAACGAGAATGATCAAAATTTTAACCGATGGTGTTCCATTTTGCCCTATCAGAGTATGCTAAAATCGATCGTCTGTCGCCTCAGGTCATACGACTTAAGGCGCTGCGGGTACTTCTTGTGGTACCAATTCTGAAAGGTTGTTTTTCTAAAAAATAAGTTATATACCAAATGAAAACGTTGATAATAGCTCTTAAAAAAATATTTAAAAAAATCCCGCGCATTTGGTAACTCCGTAAAAAAACAATTCTTAGTCGGTTTTTCACGAACTTTCTACGGATATAACTAGGTTACGGTGGGACGAATGAAGCTGATTTTTTTTACAGACTCATGATATGTACTACTAATGACTTAACGGTGTTTCGTTTTTAAATTTTGTCTCTAATTACAAGATTATCTTATTAGCTTAACATTATAAGATATCTTATAATTAGAGAAAAAATTTAAAAAAGAAACACTCTCATAGTCATTGGCTGTACCTACCATTAGTCTGTAAAAAAAATCAGCTTCATTCTTCCAACGGTAACCTAGTTATATCCGTACAAAGTTCGTGAAAAACCGACTAAGAATTGTTTTTTTACGGAGTTATCAAATGTGCGCGATTTTTTTAAATGTTTTTTTAAGAGCTATTATCAACGTTTTCATTTAGTGTATAACTTATTTTCTCGAAAAACAACCTTTCAGAATTGGTACCACAAGAAGTACCCGCAGCGCCTTAAGTCGTATGACCTGAGGCGGCAGACGATCGATTTTAGCATACTCTGATAGGGCAAAATGGAACTCCATCGGTTAAAATTTTGATCATTCTCGTTCAGTGGATTTCGTGCTAGCTCCCCTACTATGAGTATTCAATCTTAAAATAAAGTTCTCTTCCCATTATATTACCTATTTCATATCAATTTCTTGACGAAATTACAAAAAACCTTGTATGCAACACTTTGCAAATTTTATCTTTGGCGTGTACAACTTGTTACATATTGTCTGCGCCGTCTGTACTTGGGTATGACTCATCGATGTATATCGTAATAATTAACTTACTGGTCACTTTGTCTCTTACAGTCTGACACATACTGCAGCTTATTAGAAAAGGATGGCAATTCGCAACTTGAGTCTGCTGTGCAAATTCATATTGCCGGTCCAAAACGTACGTCTTGCATTTGATGCATTAATTTTTTGTCTGTCATTTGACATTTCGCGTGTACCTGGTTATTCCATATTTTTATGTTTTTACGATACATAGGTACATCAAGAAACGGTTTCTTTAAAAACATCTGGTCATTTGCGGAGTGTTTAATTGGTAATATACAATTGTTGTGAAATTAAAAATGTGTTTGTTTATACATATATACTGATATACACTTGCTTAAAATATTGTCATTTTTACATGCGCATATAATTATAGGACACTGGTTAAGTAAAATGTCACTACACTGTTTTGCCTGTTCTAAAGCTTCAAATTCAATATGTATTTGAGATTAACACGAATTGCCAGTAACCCATCTGAAATATAATGTAATAATTAATACTTAAAGTTAGGATATCTTGTTTACTTAGGCAAGGCGAAGGGTATGTTACAATCAGCGCGCAGACGTAGGTAATTATAACATTTCTTCTACTTTGATAATTCACCACCACACGTCAAATTATTACTCTTCTTATATGAAAATAATCTCCTTAAGTTTTCAAACGGACGGGGCGTATCACGATTCCACATTCACCATTTGACAGATTACAGTGGAGACATTTACCGGTGCGCATTATAACAACACGTCGATTAACCGTCGACAGACGTCGCCTGAATATTAAACCACTTGATTTTAAAAATAAGCCATACCCAAGTATACGTTGCTCCGACTATAAATAGCTATTTGGCAATTCAACTCATGTATAAAAAATCGCATAAGCCGCAGTGCAATTGTCACTTTGACAGCGGCAAAAGTTACCTGCAACTTTTCCAGCGACAAATGCACTAGTGGTTTTTTCACTTATTCATTTTCGGACCAATTATCGCATTATCCTTTCCCATATGACTAGTTTGACGTCTGTCAATAATTGATTAGTTTGGTGAATTTCTTGTTCGTTAAATTGTCCTGCCGAATTACACTCGAGGTTTGTATTGAAACCGAGTAAATTTGGGTTGTTGCAATTCAAATATGTTTCCTTTTAGCAATTGAACTCGAAAAACTGTCAACCTATAAATGCTCCATCTGCGATGTCGCATTTTTATTAGTTGACATTTTTCTCGTCTAATTGCTAGGCAACAGATTTTCATTACCTAAATAACCCAAATTTACTCGGTAAAATACAAACCTCTTGTGCAATTATAAGTGAAAATAGTACATTATATATCAAGGTAGAGAAGTACAGTATTATTGCTTGAGCACCAAGATTACATCTCGAGGCGCTTGCGCCGAGGGGTGTAAGGTGCGAAGGCAATAATAGACTTCTCTACCGTGGTATACAGGGTGGTGCCTAGCGCGACGCAGCATAGGGATTTCAATGCTAATTCCTTTATAGTCAATTACTAGCTCCCCTAATTATTTTAGAGCAAAAGTCTAAAGAAGTTTTTTCAGAGAAAAAAATACTGCATCTGTTCATACTATTACACATAATTTTCCGTTTTTCAAAACCGTAGAAATCGACAAAATAAAAAGGTTCATTTTACAATAAATCAGATATGCCTTGGAATTACCTAAAAAAACAGCGATATCTTTTTATTATTTGCCTTGACGTATATTAAATTTATACTTTATATATATTTATATTTATATAATAATGTCCACATTATTAACCACTTTGAACAAATGCCGAGAAAGCCTACTTTACAAGTGGAAAAATAGTACTTTGTGTACCAAGGCGGGAAAGTGGTTGTTTTCCAGGGCGAAGGAAGATATGGCCAGGCGAGGCGCAGCCGAGGCTGGCCACTTCCTGAGGCCCGGAAAACAACTTTCGTGCCGTGGTGCACACAATATTTTTTATCCTATACACTTACATTTAAAATTAATCCCTCAACAACGTCCGACCGGAAGCGCTTGAATTTGGATTTGCTTTAACGCGTCAACGTGCACGCATTTGTTTTGTTTATTTCCACGTTTCCTGCTGACTACGCGAAAAAAATTTTTTGCACTCCTTCGTTCTAAATCGTGTTTTCCCAATAAAACACGAACGTCGGGAACTTCAATTTTACAATTGACTATCTACTTTCGCGCACTAGTGCTTGAAAATGCAACGAAATTATCTATTTAGTGCGGATCATAAACTAATAAGTAATGCAATGGAAAAGTAAAAAAGAAAATATAAATACACTTTACATAATTCCCCGTGTTATAAGGGCAAAAATAAATCAAAAATTTCGTTTATAAAATCCTATAAATCACCTCAAGTAACGTGCTGCCATCTATTATAAATTTTGTTCAGCTTGTTAAAAACCACGGCGCGGCGCCGACGACGAAGCAAAGTTCTAACTTATTAACCTAACCTTACTTATTGCTTCTAATGAACCTGTATTTCTTTGTATAAATCTTGTAATTAAAAAGGAAAAGGCTAGGCAGTAAGTGATTTAATAAACAAAATAACGAGTAAGTATAACTATCATTCAACTATCATAATTTAATTATTATTGTAAACATTTACAGTTATTGTGCAGTTAGTGCAAGACCCAATCGAAACACCAGAAACTCCAAGTGTACTTTCATTTCTAACTATATTACTCAAACTCTGATTATGAACTTCGTCGGAACGATGCACTTGGGAATCATCGGATGGTCCTGCCACAGAAGTTAATGTTTGTGCGGTCTGTATCTTGTTTTGGATAGACTCTTCAACATAACCTTCTACGACTGCGGAAGATCTCCATCCACCATGTCTTTTAACAGACAAAAAATCCGCACCTTTGTTAGCCAACAAAGTAGCACTGCTTCTACGAAAGCAGTGACCTGTATATTCCTGTGGATCTTGCAAATTCAAATATTTGGCAATTTGGGATGGGACTTTCCCGATGGTATTTAATCCAACGGGTGAGTTTATACATTTGCCATTACGAAATGTTAAAAACAAACGATCGTTGGCAGTTTTTATCAAGGATCTGACTTTCACGTATTGTTTAACAATCTCGAGCCATTCAGTCTTTATTACCACAAACTCTCTTTTAAAACCAGTTTTTGTTTCAGGTACGGAAACCACTATTATGTCATCTTTAACATTGATGTGATGTATTAACATTTTGCACAGTTCCTCTCTGCGACATGCTCCGGAAATACCCATAATTAATACTACCTGTGGGAATGCCCTTTAAAATGTATAATTTAATAAATAGTGATTCATTACCTTCATTAGTAAATAAGTTGAATCAGGCGCATCTTTTAGGAATTTTAAAATGTGATCTTCATCAAGGATTTTGGATTTCTTTGGCGTATGACGTTCTGTAGCTCGTTTCAGAAATGCTATTAGGTTCGCATATTTGGATATGTCGACGTTATGTTTAATGTAAAGACACGATTTTACCATACTGTATATTGACCACAATGACTTTTTGTGGTCACTTATATTTTTAAAATAGGCCAATACACAGTTTTCCGTGTAATTTTTTATATTATTACCTTTACACCATTCAATGAAAGCATTGTAAGCTTTTTCATACCTCGGTGCCGATTTTACAGGTAGTAAGCTACTAACTGCTGCATTGGCAATTGCACGAACCTCTGGCGGTGTGCAATTAATAAAATTCTCTTCATCAGACGACATTTTTGCGTGAAACTATACAGAAAGTTTACCCAAACTAGAAATTTTGAATAAAAATTGACAATTCAAATTTCTAGATTTCTACTTTATCGGCGTAGAGGACTTGGTTTTTTCAAAAGTATTATATAATGTCGCAAAAATTTCGCGAAAAGGATTTGAATTTATATAAATTCGATTTAACTAATCCGTGCAAAAAATAGAATACATGTTACGTGCGTGAACAGTTGCGCACTCGCGCCGCCAAACTTCGCGCTCATCTGCAAAATAACTGTTCCCGCACTAACAATGTAAATAACTATTACGAAACGGTGCAATCTAAGTGGGCCCACGAGTATATTTTTTACTCTTTTTTACCTTTTTTTTTACCCTTTCCCTTATAATACAGTTCAACGCAAATTCAAATTCTAGCGCGCTTGCGATTGCACAGTGCGGAGTCACCGAAGGGAGTCACGGTGCAACAGAGCAGAGTACAAAATTGGAGAATACCGATCATGTGCGAACTGAGTTGACATTTCCGGCATTACACTGGCGCGTGATTATTTCCTTAGAAAATAACGGGATTTAAGGGGTTGTAATTAATACCAGGCGCATTTGAAATTATTACTGGTCTTGTGTATTATGTCATAAATGTGTTTTAAAATTGAATTGAATGTGTGTTTTCAGGGACAAAATCACAGCGGTTATATTTTAAATCCTTGACAGGATCCATGTCTTGTCAAATGTTAGATGCTTTTAAGACTGGATTTATGCTTGGTGACGAACGCGCAAAGGGCACACTTAAAATCCTTGATGATCTTGTGTTTTAAAAAAATGTGTTTTATAAATATGTAGATTTATTCATTCCTTACAGTCACACTGGACACATTTAACTTCGGGGTAGTCTCGTATGTTAAAATGCTACTTATTGCGGATAAGCGGTGTTCTACTTACAGTGCAAAGTACATCTTGGTGATAAGTGTATTAACACAGATGCTCGTTATTGAAAGTAAATGGGAGATCTGCTTTCCATTTGAGTGCGTGAAGCTCTGGTGCAGTTCGTTCGGAGCAGCTCATTTTGCAAGTTGTTCATTTTTAACACATTTGAATTGACATTCACAGTACGTAAATAACCACAAAAGTGTTACAAGCCCCAAGCAAATAGGTGGTGCATGAAGGGACAAGGGAAATCCAATTTCGGGCGCGTCAGAGCTCGAAGCTTTCTTAAAAGGAACACAGGGCATCGTGCACGGTATACAGTTTAGAGCTCCTCTTTCACTCAAATGGAAAGCAGCCTGGACTTAAGTTTGAAACGTTGAATTGATCACGTGATATTGGGAAAGTATTCAAATTCACGAAACATTGATAGGTAGGTTCGCGGTAATTAAATAAATTCTTGAATTCAGTAAAATAAAGTGAACATAGGGTAAATTTAATTATTAAATCAGTGTTGACGATTTTATGTTTCTTATTTAATTAAAAAGAAATAACTTCTTTGACATTTTTAAAGTCACTAGATATAGAAAGTACCGCAATCATCCGCCATTTTGGGCAAATTTGGTGCCAACTTTAAAAAATTGACAAATAAAATCTGAATAGCTGTAATTTTTTATAACCTAACTTCATAGTACTGTCATGTTTTATAAAAATTTATACAGACATCTCCAAACAGGTGGAACAATCCCTAACATTAAAGTTACTAGAATCTGGTAACTTCCGCCATTTTTGGGCAAAAATCATGCGTTCTCTCTCTAACACACGAGCCCAATGGATTGCGGTACTTTCTATATTTAGTGACTTTAGACATTTTATTACAACCGCGCCATCTAGCTTACATAAGGCGTATTTTTTTTCTCGCCTAGCCGACAAAATTGAATTTTCTCGCTCCATGCGGGCAATTGTCTTCTTTCGCGTCCTCACACAGGCGAGAAAATGTAAGTTTCTCCTTGTATAGGATAAAAAGGTTAATAATCATGTCATCAGGCGCCAGTAGTGAAAAAAAACTTTTACATACAAAATGGCGACACATTCTTAATTATTGACAACCACTACTAAAAACAAAACATAATATTATGGGACGCCTGTCGTAGTTGGCGGGAACGCGGTGCAGCGCTACTGAGCAGCCCAGTATGAAGGGGCTCTTACGAGTATTAACTTTGAATTTTGCAAATATAAGCATATGCTTCCTTTTATTCATATGGGCCAATGTATAGAAAAAAAAGCATACGGGCTCGGATTTAAACCTGGGTTGTTGCGATGTAAGCCAACGGTTATACTAAAGTCACTAAATATAGAAAGTACCGCAATCATCCGCCATTTTTGGGCAAATTTGCTGCCAACTTACAAAAATTGACAAATAAAATCTGAATAGCTGTCATTTTTTATAACCTAACTTCAAAGTACTGTCATGTTTTATAAAAATATATACAGATATCTCCAAACAGGTGGAACAATCCCTACCATTAAAGTTACTAGAATCTGGTAACTTCCGCCATTTTTGGGCAAAAATCATGCGTTCTCTCTCTAACACACGAGCCCAATGGATTGCGGTACTTTCTATATTTAGTGACTTTAGGTTATACCATCTGCGCCAACTGGACGTATGTTTTACGGATATTTATACCTATATAAGCGGTTCAAAATAATCAACATGCTTAGATCCATACGCCACCTAGCAGCTAAGCGAAGGACCACGAATTTGACGAGACGTAAGAGCCTCATCTCAAACGACAGAGTTTCCAGACATGTGTATACGACCGTGGGCAAAACCGACTAGTGTGTTTTTATGTTATAATCTCTACTGGTGTAATAGCTTTCTTGCTATGGGTAGTCGTGAACCGGTAGGCGGTGGTTTAGCCACTTTTGCATAGATCTGATCTTGCCACAGTCTTGGTACAAGCGCCTGAAACGCGGCAAGCTGCGGTCGCTTGCGGCGACCGCAACCATTGACCCCCTATTAGTCAATGCCGCAACGCAACCGGATATGTGAAACGCTCGTATTTAAATCCATTGGATGCAGTCATCCGTTCAAAACGGTCCGGTCCCGTTAAAACGCATAGTATATTCAGGCACGGAATAGGTTTACGAGCATATTATGATACTTATCATACAGAAAGTCTACGTTTGCGACAAGAGCCAGCTTGAGAGCGAGTGGAGCAAGTGATCCCGGTCAATAAGGGTTATTTGTATTTTACATAATTATGATGTTATACGGTTATCATTTCCAATGTCTCCGATAGTTGCAAGGATTGCGATATCTATGGATTTTTTACGGCCTACACGTTTTGAAGCACCAGCGATCGGAATCAAACAAAATCTCAATGCTGTCTGTCGGTCTGTCGGTTTGTCTGTCTGTACTCTCATTTCCGGCTAAACGGCTGAACCGGTTGGAACCAAATTTGGTACACATATTCTTACGCATAAAAGAGTAAGAACTGATAATCTTTTGGGCATGCGCAGGTGTACGGGTGCTATCTGTGCTCGTTACAGCAAATTTATTACTGGAGGCACAGATAAAACACCTTATCACTGTGCTGAAGGTAAATATAGTCGACCGTTCAAACATTGGTTTTACAGTATTTTAATATTCACAGCTTAAACTTTAAACAACATGTTCTGACATCACAACATTGTTACAGGATAGCAGTACGTTTAGGGGAACACAACATCGAAACGCCAGTTGATTGCGACGATGATGAAATAGACGAAGATTGTGCACTGCCGCATATGGATATTTTCATTGAGTCGGCAACGCCTCATCCGAATTACACTGCCGAATCCTCTAGTAAATACAACGATATTGCACTGATTAAATTAAATCAGGCAGTCAATTACACAAGTATCTACGTAATAATTAAATTGTATTTTGACTGACTATCGTCTTTCGTAGAGGACGTCCAACCCATCTGCTTAGGAGAAGCCGCCCAAGTGTCGAAGTGGAACAATCCCGGAGCGGATCTTGTTGTTAGTGGATGGGGACAAACAGAAACAAGAGGTAAACCATAAAAAATGCTTGAGTTCATTTTCGTTAAAGCGTCTCATTAGAAACGGGTAGTCCGATAAAGCTAAAAGCCAAAGTACCTCTTGTGCGTCAAGACATTTGTACAAGGTCATACGCGAAAAATCAAATTCGATTAGGAAACACACAGATTTGTGCAGGTGGAGGTCGTAAAGACTCATGTAAGGGAGATTCAGGAGGCCCGTTAATGTTTGAAGATACGAGTGATCCAAATGAATCCCGTTGGTATACTGTGGGCGTGATTTCTTTTGGTGCTCAACCGTGTGCATCGGAAGGCGTACCAGCGGTATATACCAATTTAGTTTCATATTTGGATTGGATTAAAACTACCATGTCGTTGTAAAATACTAGGTAACTATCTTATTTTTTATTAACACGAATGTATTCTAGAAGTAGTATAACTTCGACAACTAAGTATATAATACAATAAAATCGATATACTTGCACTACCTCTTTTAATAGATATGAAATTTTTGGGACTTACCTTTGACAGGGAGCTACGGTGGTCCAAGCATCTACAGAATGTTGTCACAAAGTGTAGGAAATCATTAAATGTCATTAGGGTCCTGGCCCACCATAAGTGGGGAGCTCACCCAAAGACGTTACTCGACGTCTACAAGGCCTTAATTTTATCGAGAATTGATTATGGGTGCTGTGTTTATCTGACATGTGACAACAGTGCGATGCTTGGGAATCTCGATTAAAACCAAATTCTCGCCATACGGTATTCCCTCGGAGCCTTTCCAACGAGTCCGGTCGCTGCGCTTCACGTCGAGGCGAACATCCTCCCTCTAGTCCTCCGTCGTAAACAGGCTGCCACAGATAAAATACCCAACAGATTGCCAACCAAATGCAGTGTTACTAAATACAACCATAATGCAAATGCGAACTACGGGTTGCCTATAGGTCCCCAATTTCCAGTGAAAAATATAATTTTTTATTAAAGATTTTTATGAAACATGATATCGCTTTTTGCCACAAGAGGACTCACACTCAAATTTCAGTATCGGTATCTGTAGTCAACACTACACAAAATATGGTATGTAAACGTACTAAATTCCAATGATTCATGAACAGGGCTCTCTGATTGGCGAAACGAAACACCGCCTCGTTTGTTTTTTTGTTTACAAGGCATACTCAAAGTTAATTTTTTAAGGTCTTCAAAATAATTTATCATTAAAAATATATTAAATTGCATGGTCCATAAATGCTGCATAATCCTCCCAAAAAATTTAAAAAAACGCAACAAACAATAATTACATATTCCAACTATAAAAGATTTTCTTTATTAAAATAACGTAAATAATGTCGACCAGTGGATTTATCTTCCGTCTAACGCAATTGCCGAATCATGTTTCAACTGGGCAATATTGCCGTAATCTGCGAGCTCCATCCAACAACCGCGCCGCACTCCGCGACTGTGCTATCAACACCAATTTAAATTCTAAAGACTTATAACAGAAAAATTGTTCAATTGATCTGTTGACTTATTTAAAGCAAAGCAGCCGACTTTAAATGGAAAATTCACCTTAGCTGCATTTAACGTCGAGCGCATCGCGAAAAATGGTATTGTATAAAATTACACGATTTTCTCACTTCTGCATGTTCCTGTTATCCAACACTTTATAAGGGCACTAAATAAATAAATTGCCAAACAAGGAGACAAAGTAAATAAATAAATTGGTAAACCGACGAAAATGTTTAAAAATCTGAAAAGTTTTGTTATTAAATCGGTGGCGTATTTAACAGAAAATTACTTACGACTCCAAAAGTGCATAATTGCCAAACAAGGTGACAAACTAAATAAATAAATTGGTAAACCGACGAAAGTGTTTAAAAATCTGAAAAGTTTTGTTATTAAATCGGTAGCGTATTTAATAGAAAATTACTTACGACTCCAAAAGTGCATAATTGCCAAACAAGGAGACAAACTAAATAAATAAATTGGTAAACCGACGAAAATGTTTAAAAATCTGAAAAGTTTTGTTATTAAATCGGTGGCGTATTTAACAGAAAATTACTTACGACTCCAAAAGTGCATAATTGTCAAACAAGGTGACAAACTAAATAAATAAATTGGTAAACCGACGAAAATGTTTAAAAATCTCAAAAGTTTTGTTATTAAATCGGTAGCGTATCAGAAAATTACTTACGACTCCAAAAGTACATAATTGCCAAACAAGGTGACAAACTAAATAAATAAATTGGTAAACCGACGAAAATGTTTAAAAATCTGAAAAGTTTTGTTATTAAATCGGTGGCGTATTTAAAATAAAATTACTTACGACTCCAAAAGTGCATAATTGCCAAACAAGGTGACAAACTAAATAAATAAATTGGTAAACCGACGAAAATGTTTAAAAATTATAATAGCTTTGACACTACAACAAATTAATGTAAGTACCTATACGTCAATGCAAAATAATAAGAACAAGTCACTTTAACATAAATCACACACAATGCAATCACAAACGCAAACACCTATAAATTATAGTTTTATAGACTAAAAGACACGGTTTCGCGGGGCGAGTTTTTTTAAAGTGACATCTACAGAAAAACGCTTGTAACTCCTTCTTTTCATGACCACCATAAAGATTCGTAAAATGGATGTTCATACTAATACTCAGTAGATGGCGCGTTTAAGTATACCAGGATCTTTAACTTAAGTATATTTTAAGTATATTTATGTTACCCATAAAATGTATTGTGGTTAGCAATCTGTTGGGTATTTTATCTGTGAGGCTGCTGTAAACTACTATCTTAAACTAATTTCGGATGAGCAACATCCGAATCACGTATCGATGGCAGGCGCAGTTCCGCGTCGACGGCTGAATGGGTGCAGGGCTAGAGAGGATCTAACGTATCTACAACTAAATGACCTTGATGTTGCAAATGAGACAACAGTAACCCGACGTACACTCGTCAGGGCTCGGGTGTATGAGCGTTGGGGCGACCTATGGGCGAGGTCCGATTCATTTTTGAAAAGGGTCAAACCCGATTTGAGGCCGCTATTTCTTCATGGCGAGGGTCGGTTTGTATTCGTGAAGATGTTTCGAATTAGACTTGGGCACACCGCATTAACCCATAGCGCCTTGCTGGAAGGTAAACCTAGACTCCTATGTGCGAACTGTGAGGTTAATTTAACACTAGAGCACATACTTTGTAACTGTCCACCATACAAAGATATACGGGACAACTTGGGGATATGCCCGATATGGGAAGGTAATTTTAACAGCGATGAACGGTGTCGAAGGGTGATAGGATTTTTCCAAAGTGTGGAAATGTTGCACAAACTGTGATATAATGGCTGTCTATTTAATTGTTATTTATTGTTGTCTGTCAGTTACCAACTTTGTCATATCGAAAATATTGTATTGTATGTGAGTCGACCTACCTGTATGTAATATTCTAACGGGCGATCAAAAATGAGTTGCTTTCGAGTCGCCTTTGGAAGTTCAAGTTAAGTACGATTTCCCATGTAAACAAAAATTCCAAAGGTGACTCGAAAGCAGCTCATTTTTGATCGCATAGTATTAGAACGAAGTTGTGATATTTTGAGCAAATAGGCAAATGGCCATAGAAGCCGAAGCCTTAGGTGGGGTTTTAGTGGGTATACCCGAGTAAGGGAGAGCCCCACACTACTCCAGACCTCTCAACCTGGAGTGTGCATAAGGAGCATTTCCCCACCTACAAAAAAAAAAAATAGAACTGGCAGAAATTTTCATAAACGACTCGAACCACGAATACACTGCTCGAAACGTTTTGGGCATTCAGAACAAAATAGTATTCGAATCACTTAGAGTCAATTGCATAAGAGAAATAAATCCTGTGAAAAGTTGCACTTTTTTTAAATAGTTGTTGCAGATTTTGATTCCTTGGTCAATTTGTATGTATTATGCATAATATCTAAAATGCGTCGTTTAGCTGCAATTGGTGATTTTTTGAAAAAATAGATGTGAAGGAACAATGCGATTAAAAGGCCGGGAGCCCGGGACTGCATGAAATGTACTACCATTCGCCGAACGGTCAATGTTAAATTTTTTGTGTTAAATGAAATCACTGCGTCAATGTTCAAAATTTCAATCAAAGGTAACTTGATTTTTATTAATAGAACTATTTTTTTTTATTGCATCAATTGTAGGATTTGATTACCTTTCCAACGATATAAGCATGTAGGTATTTACCTACCTTTTACATATTTTTTGTAGTTCAACAATTTCTAATATAAGTCATAGTGTTTTTCGATTTTCAAAAGCTCTCAGTAATTAGTAGGCCGTTAAAAATTATGAACACCAATTCAAATTATAAAACATTTCCCTGCAAACAAAACAAAAGATACTGCAAAGTCACGGACTTAAAAGTTTTATGATAATTGTGATAACTATTCAATTTTTACTGGACATCTACTTTTTAAACAATGACGCATTGCGGGTAAACGACTAATTTTATATATAATGTGTAATATTATAATTGACCAAGTAATTGATATACAGGGTGACAATTTGAAAACTTACCACCCCTCATATCTTAGTAAATAGACGAGATATTTAAAGAAATCAAAATCCGTTTCGGTAATTCGGAGGGGGAATCACAATGACATAGTTGGCGACACACCCCCTCACACCCCCTGCGCCCTAACCACCCCAACTTTTAAATCTTAAATAGTGATCCCCCATGTGTGATACGTCGTTGGAAAGCTCTGAAAAAATGCTTTCCAACCATATCAAATATCATTACATTTAGGTTAGTAATGTAACGTGATTTATAAATTCGGGTTCGATTTATATCAATATTTATTAAACAAAACTAAAACACTATAAAAACCGTACAATTTATATCGATTATTTATATGACACACACTTCGCAATTTATATCAGACTTTCGCGCTCAATGTTTACGTACTCGTTCGGTAGTAGACTGCCGCGATGTTCGGTCCGCAACCATTTATACACGCAAGCAATGTAAGTCCAGTACATTCTCGAATACGCGTAGAAAATTCCAGAGCGCCAAAGGCGACGTCATGTCTGAAGCATTTCCGTTACAGTAATTATCGTGCAAATCAAAAAATAAACCAATATGATACAAAGTTGGCTTTTATTTCAATAAATGTTCAAAATGTTTTCCGTTATTGGTAAGACAGTATTACTATGCGATCAAAAATGAGTTGCTGTCGAGTCGCCCTTTTTGTTTACATGGAAAATCGTATTTAACTTGAACTTCCAAAGCCGACTCGACAGCAACTCATTTTTGATCGCCTGTTATAATCTATTCTCAAACTCCTGTCGAACCTTTTTAAATGTTGGTTTTGCAATATTTCAACATTCTTGAATTATTCTCTGTCTTATAGTTCGTATGTTCGCCGGTTGCTTTTTAAATACGACAGATTTCAAATGTATCATATTAGTTTATTTTTTGATTTGCACGATAATTACTAACCTAAATGTAA